TCCCCACCTTCCTCCCGCATCCTCCCCACCCTTCTCCCCCATCCTCCCCACGGCTCGTAGTTCCACACGAACATGTTAAAATGCGCGGCACACACGCTATACGCCACTGTTACGCTGTTAGACGCTCGACTCCATCCAATTTGTTTAGTTAATTGGACACAAGCGTAGCTATCTATTAGGAGGAGGTCAGGATTGCCCGCGTGCGCCATTCTCGGCTTCTCAGTGAGTGAATGAATGAATGAATGAATGACGTGAGAGTCGCCGCAGACTGTTAGCTTAGCCATTAGCCAGTACACATGCCGACAGACCAGAGCTTCGGATTGAGTCTATCTCAGAGAGATTGGCAGCAGTTGAGAAGTCCGGTTGGTTACGCAGTCAGTGAATTATTACCGATTTTGTATATCGAAGGGATGTTAAGTGAATCTGGTAGCATGGGCAGTCATGATGAGCTAAGGTCTAAGTTTAATCATAACTCCAAACGTGACCCTAGCCGTAATCCTAATCCTAACTGTAAATCAAAACCTACCCCAAACCGCAACTTTACCCCTATCCCAAACATGAACCCTAATCCGAACTGTAACACTATCCCTAACCCTAACCCCAACAATAACACAAACCTCAATGATAACCCTAACGCTCACACTAACCCCAACCAAATCCTGACCCTAATCCTAACCCGTACCCTTACTCTAACCCTCACCCTAACCCTAATCATAACCCGTACCCTGCTACAAACCTTTACCCTAATCCGAACCCGTACCCTTACTCTAACCCTCACCCTAACCCTAACCCTAATCCTAATCCTAACCCGTACCCTTACTCTAACCCTCACCCTAATCCTAATCCTAATCCTAACCCGTACCCTTACTCTAACCCTCACCCTAACCCTAACCCTAACCCTTACTCTAACTATGACCCTAATCACAACCCTAATCCTGACCATAACCATAACCCTAACCCTAACCCTAATCCTAATCCTAACCCCACCTGCGACCCTATAACCTGTGTTGACGACGTCGCGCACAACTCGCGTCTATCACGTGTTCTCGCTCCGTCTCGTGTCGTCGGCCACCATCCTCCACCAGCATCCTCTCTACACCGATCATCACACACTAGCGGAACAGAGCGGTGACGGAAAGACGGGCACGACGAAACAATGGGGGAGGTGCGCGGACAGGCGGCCGTGGCGGGGGAGGTGCGCGGACAGGCGGCCGTGGCGGGGGAGGAGGCGGCGGAGGTGGGAGAAGGGGGCGGCGGTGGTGGGCGAGGGGGCGGCGATAGAACAGGATGTAGCAAGGTTAGCAGAAGATGGCGTCCGTCAAATGCGGGTGACTCATCATTATATGACGGAAAAAATAACGCGCGCGTGATTGCAGAGTGTCTCCCCCTCTCCTTCCCGTTTCCTCTCTTCTCTAACGGTTATAAGTGTTAGATCAGTGCGGTTCTCTCTCTCTCTCTCTCTCTCTCTCTCTCTCT